TCTGTGTTAGGAAGTGGTGAAGATGAGAGGCCCTAGAGAGAGGTCTCCCCACAGGTTGCCTCAATGTTCCCTCTCATCTTTTCCATCCATGTGTGGAATAAGTGTTTTATGTGCGCCGAGGAATGTGCACCACCAGGAGAACCCAAAAACCTCACTGTGGGCGCTCCGCTAATCCCCTGGGAGGCATTGGCATCTCTGCCGAGTGGCCACCCAAGCACCCGCTTATAGGGAATGCTGGCTGGAGATCTGATTTTTTTGCGAGGGGCGGGGGTCTGGATTGGCTTAAACTTATTTCAAGTTTTACTGGCCATAAATTGGAGAAGGAAGAGGGAGGGGATTCAGCAAAGGCAGATTAGGCGCGGCGTTGAACTTGGTAGCGATCTGAATGTCACTCGCCATTCTGCTTTCCCGCATATCTAGATGGAGACAAAAGCAGCAGTGCCTTTCCGATTGTGAAATCAGCAGAAATGTGGGCGAGAAGGTGGAACCTTTTGTATCCTCCAGTGGAATGGCTCCGTTTTTGTTATTGTCCCTGTGGAAGGGGGGAGGCGGACCAAGTGGAGAGGGAGGGATGGCAGGGGAGCGCTGCACATTTGGAAGCATGTCAAACAATAAGCCTTGCTCTGAAATAGTTGGGAGCCTATTCATGCCATTGAGATGCAAATGCACCCTTCACCCGCTGTTGCCCCAGCAGGGTAGGGGCTAAGCTTTGGGAAAAGGCAGGATTGTGGCTGGCAAAGAGGTTTATTCATCTTGTGGGCCAATGCCTGTTGTAAAATCAGCGGTGCCCAGGAAAACACACTTTGGTGCCATCTATGCGGTAGGATTTAACCACATTTTAATGGTGCCCCATGTGTCACGGTTCAAAGAGGTGGTTAAAATATGGGTCAGGCCTGTCTCCGCTGAAAGGCCGAATGTGTTTTCACTGGGTCTGGAACAGCCATGTGCTAAGCAGGTCTCCCAGCACCGCTGATCTTACCCGGGCTCAGAGGCAGGGGTTCCAAGTGCAGGATAAATACTGAATTAGAGTGCAGGAGAGCTGGGCTTTTGCCACTCTGGGCTGTCGTGGGTTTGCATTGCTCTAGAAGGCAACCAACCATATTTTAGATTTTGTGTTGAGAATTGCAGTTTAAGCCCTGCTCAAAGGGAGCGGGGTCTGGCAACTGCAGCAAAGGCCTGGGAATTTGGAGTCCTGCGTTCAGTGCCCAGTTCAGTGAGTCTGAGACTCAGTTTCTCCATCTGGAAAGCAGAGATAATGAGAGAGACCTACTTCAAAAGGGATGTGATTAAAAGTGCTCTGCGGTCTGAAGATGAAAGGTGCTATTTAAGGGGTAGATTCTGCTTTTGCTTACAACAGTGTACATCTTTAGTAATTCACTCGGCAGAGGTGTTACTCTGGATTCTAACCAGTGTGAGGAGAGTGGCAAAGGTTCTAATTACTGTATAAATTCATCCAGAATATTGCAGACATATTTCCAAGATTGTAGCCAATAGCATTTTTTCTGCATGAATACAGAATAGCAAGCATGCATTTGAAGATCCAGTTTAGTGACAAGGAGAAATAGGCCCAACTGGGATGTTAAAAAAGAGTATCAATGTATCTGTGTAACCATTACAAAATCTTAGTGGTTACACGCTGCGGTACAAAGCTGATACAGAGCCAGCAGCACTAGGTGGCAGCCGGCTCCTGGGGGCGGGGTCAGGAATCGGTGTGTAGCCGTTAACGGGAACCAATAACCCTATGGATTTGTCATGAATGTTTCTGTTTGTGGCCTGTAGGGAATGGCAGCAGTGAGGGTGAGAATTTGAAGGGTGAGATTCTGGCCCTGTTGAGTTACTGGCAAAACTATTGATTTCAGCAGAGCCAAAATTTCACCCTGAAATGCAAAGAATTGGAGTAGGGGAGTGTTACCACATAACTGAAACGTGCAGGGCAGGTGGGGCCTTTATGTTCGGTACAGTTCTGTTTATACCTTTAATTTACTAGGAACACAATACGTCAGGTTCTTTATTTTTATTTAATTATTTTTTTAGTGGTGGAGAGTGCTGAACCCCAATTAGGGTAGATCTCTTCATTACTGACCTAGCCATTTTTAGTCTCTGCTTACGCTACCAAACAAAGGTAAGAAATGGAACATCTTCCATAACCGGGGAAATATATATGTTCCAGCTGCAGACAATTGTTGTCAGTGTTAGAGAAGCGTCCACTCTGTTTATTTTGGACAAAGGTCAATGTGGTGATTCATTAACAGGCTGGGATACTATTTTGCTACTTTCTTGGGTTCGGTTATTTTATTATTAACTCTCCCTCACCTGAGTTATCGCTGAGGGTCTGGTTGCCTGGACAACAGGATGTCATGGACGATCAAGGTGCTGTTGCTGTTTTAGGGCTGTGGTCTTCACTCAGGAAGGCTAGGCCGACTATACTTAGATGGGTGATCTAAGAAGTGTAAGGCGGTGCGGCAGGATGTGGTACTGGTTATTCAAATCACCAGATGACTTCTCGCTGAAGCCAGGCCTATGCAAACTTTTGCCGGTGTTGTGCTGATATTTTAGAAGGGGGGATGGGATGGGTAATCAGAGGCTTGGCTGTCTGACGTCCATCCTGGCCAATGCCAAGATAATGGAGTGGCTTATAGGGGGCAGAGGTAATGGACGGTAATGTAATTACAGGCTGAAACTCTCTAAACCTGGTGGAGGGCTAGCGCCTGGGAGCCATACAGGCTGGCAGGGCAGCAGGAGCCTGGCACGCAAAGGCTGCAGTAGCTGGATGTGGCAGCTGGGACTGCCAGTGCGCAGAGGCAGTGGGGCTGCCTGGCACGGCAGTGGCGCCCAACGACAGAGGGAGTTGGCTGGGAGTCCGGCAGTCGGACCAGTGCTGGGGGAGGGTCAGTGGCAAGGGAGGCCAGAACTGACCTCCCCTGATCCAGCAAATCCCTCATCCAGGACCGATCAGGTCCCAAGGGTGCTGGACCAGCGAGGTCTGACCTGTAATACCAGTCAGCCTGGGTGTATGGAAAAGAGGAAGTTACTCAGACAGGGTCCGGTTTTGTTTGAATGTGAGATTGCAAATCTGGGTGATGAACAATAATCTGATGCCAGATCCTGAGAGTGCTGCAAGGCCTTGTGTTCTGGTACTCAGCAACACTGTGATGTGTAAAACTGACAGGGCACACCTGCACTGAATCCAGCGCGCTCTCACAATATAATTGGAACGGGGGAATTGTCATCAGTGGCTGTTTCTGTGGGCTCCTGCAGGGGTCTGGTCTTTGCCCTTTGTTATTTGACACTTATCAGTGAGCTGAACAAACAGAAAATCATCCCCCGCAAAGTTTGCAGAAGACGCACAAGTTGGAAGAGTGGCAAGCGGTGAAGAGAAGTCACTACATTCAGGTTACTTGGTTCCTTGGGTGCAAGCAAACCATGTGCCTTTTAATACAGATACAGTACATGTAAACATGTACATTTGGGAACCAAGAACGTCAGCCATCCTTACAGGGTGATCGATACTCTCCTGGGAAACAAGCACTCTGAAAAAGATGTGGGAGTTGTGGACAATGTTCCTTCTAATTTTTTTTCCATCCACGTGCAGAATACATTTTGTAAAATGCACTGAGGCATGTGTGGATGTGCACCACCAGGAGAGAGACATGCTGCCAGTTGTGTCACTCTGCTGATCACCTGGGTGGCATTTGAATCTCTCCTGAGTGGCTGCACAAGTGCTCAGCTGACAGAATCAGCTGAACGTGTGATGTGGTGGCCAAAGGGGCTAGTGTGATCCTGGGGTTCATCAATGGGGAAATTCTTGGCCATGGTGAGCCCATGACTGGAAAACTGTGCCCAGTTCTTGTGCCCACAACTCTGCAGGATGCTGTACATGGGAGGGGGCTCAAAGAGGCGCGAGAACCTGCCTTTAGCAAGACGGTGACCAGATCACCGTTAACCTTCTCTTCGTTAAACGAAATCGATGGATTTCCTTGTATCTGTCGGGACCTTCGTGGGGATCGAATATTTAATAACACCCTTGAATCTGGCCGTCAGACATGTAACAAGATCCAGAGGCTGGAAATTGAAAGTAGACCAATTCGGAATGGCTATAAGGGGTATGTTTTGAACCGTGACGGTAACTCCCCGCTGGGGCAGGTCCAGGGACTTTGTGGATTCTCCATCACTGGCAATTTTAAAATCAAGATTGGATGCATTTGCTACAGTAACTTTGGGGAAGTTGGGTGGCCTGTGCTCTGTGATCACTAGGGTCCCTTCTGTGCTTAAAATCTCTGAATCAATAGCAACCAGTTATGGGTCTGTTGGGGGGGGGGAGGAGTTGATTTTAAACCAGTAAAAACCCCTCGAGGAGGTGCCTTTATACCAGCAAAGCTGTGGCTTATTTCTTTTGGGGAGGTGGCATAAGCTACCCCAGATGTCTTGTCGGTAGACGCTACCTCCGCATGAGCAGGCTTTGCCAGGATTGACATCCTGCAAACCTTTCCCCGTGTGGACCAGGCCTTGCTGCTGCAGGCCGGTATTCGAAGCCTGGAGTTGCCGTCTTGGAGATGAGATGGAGAGTGAAGGTTTATGACCAATGTTCCCTGGAAGCCATTCACTTGTGTGGCTACTTGGAAGAGAGTCACATGCTGCCCAGCTGATTAGCAGAGCCCCCACAGCTAGATTTTGTTTCTAGTGGTGGTGCACATTTGCACATGCTCAGTGTACATAACATTTATTCCACACGTGGATGGAAAAAGTCTGCCCATGGTGGAAAAGATTAGCGGGGACATTGGCTATGGCTAGGGATGTAAAATGTTTACCAGTTTGAAGATTGGGGGCTGCTCCGGTCCATGGCAGGCCCCCTCTCCCCCAGATTATACGCTGGCTCCCCTGCTCCCGGGGAGCTGGCCGCAGAGCCCCCAGGGAAGTCTTCCTGGGAGCAGGGCTGGCAGACTTGTTGACGGGAAGGCTTGGCCGTGGGCTCTGCTGTGTAAAGTGTCGTTAAGCGTCATAAGGCAGAGCCAGCAGTGCGTGTAACCGCTGCGATTGTGAGCGCTTCCCCGGTTACGTTTGTAACTGCAGCTTTCCATGCCGAGTGCTGCCCATTGCGTGCGAAGAAACCCTGATGTTATGGATCAGATCTAGTCCGGTTCGATGCGGCGTCCCGGCTATTCCTGCCTACGTCCCCAGCTGCAGGCTTACGAGGGCCCAGGTGCAGGCTTACGAGGGCCCAGCTTTTTCATTGGCTGCCTGTGAGGCCAAGTGGACCAGAACTGGAGAACAGCTCTCCAGCCTGTCCCCAGCCTCCTAGGCCAGCTCAACGGCTGTTTACCCCTCCCCTGTTTGCAGTCAGGACCTGCCCTCTGACACAAGCGACTCTCTCTGGACCCCCGGCTCGTCTCCAGCTGCACCCCCAATCTGGGGCTGGGTAAACTGCGCTGGGTCACGTGTCCTGTTGCACCAGCGGAGCACGTCTGTTAGGGATGTGAAAATGCATTTAATCAAGTAACCGGGTAGCTGGGTACACACGGGGGGAGCGAGGGCAGGCGGCTCCCCGGGAGCCAACTCTTTAGCCGGCTCCCTCTGCGTACCGGGAGCCTGTGCGTAACCGGGAAGGTGGTCAGGCTCGTCGGCTAACCGTGCACACGCTTGCATGTTCCCGTCCCTGCCATCTGTGCTCCGTCGCTGTCGGTGAAGACAAGGCCCGGCTGTTCGTGGGCAGCCCGGTGGGCGTGTGGCCGTGCCAACGGCTGCATTGCGAACCCGTTCTCGCTGGCATCTCGAACATGACCCATGCACAGGATGCGGCGCTCCCGGTTGAAAAGCCGCCCCCTCCGCTCTGCTGCCAGCTTGCTTGGTTTCTCCGCACGTGCCCCCGGCGGGCCCAGCTGTGGCCTTGGGGGAACAAGAAGGGCTTGTGTGGATCTGCTGTGTCTTGGCAAAGCTTTGCTCTGCGCCGGCAGGCTGCCCGGCTCTCAGCGCACAGCTCTTGTGTTGGGTTAAATACTAGTTTGTTCTGAGCGTCGGCCCCTGCCTTCCCCTTTCTCCTCCTCCCACGCCTGCCCTCTGAGCTCAGCCGCTTGCCCAGACCTCCACCCCCTCCCTCGCTAGACGCGCCGTGTGGCGGCTGACCCGGAAGGCAGCAGATGGATGGGTCGCGGAGCAGAGATTCGGCGTCTCTCATGGAATCTCCCTGGATTTCCGGATGCTGTTGGCTCATGTTTGGCTCTTCGGTGATGGCCTGTGCTGTGTGTCTGCCAGTCAGTGAGGGCAGAGGGAAAACACTGGGATGTCTTTCAGGACTGGAAATAGGATCAACATTTTCATTCATTGGTATTCAGGGGCAGGGTGGAGGAATGAATCCCCTGGGGATTTCTCAGAACAAGCACAGCCATGCTGGGTCAGACTAACTGTCCATAGAATCATAGAACACTAGGACTGGAAGGGACCTCGGGAGGTCATCGAGTCCAGTCCCCTGCCCTCATGGCAGGACCAAGTACTGACTAGACCATCCCTGATAGACATTTATCTAACCTGTTCTTAAATATCTCCAGAGATGGGGATTCCACAACCTCCCTGGGCAATTTATTCCAGTGTCTGACCACCCTGACAGGTAGGAACTTTTTCCTAATGTCCAACCTAAACCTCCCTTGCTGCAGTTTAAGCCCATTGCTGCTTGTCCTATCCCCAAGGTCAGGAAGAACAAGTTTTCTCCCTCCTCTTTGTGACACCCTTTTAGATCCCTGAAAACGGCGATCATGTCCCCCCTCAATCTTCTCTGTTCTAAACCAGACAAGCCCAATTCTTTCCCATCTAGCCCAATGTCCTGTCCTCTGACTGGCCAATGCCAGGTGTCCCAGAGGGAGTGAACAGAACAGGGCATCATCAGCTGATCCATCCCCTGTCGCCCATTCCCAGCCACTGAGAAAAGAGGCGAGGGACACCATTCCTACCTATCCTGGCTAACAGCCACTGATGGACCTAACCTCCATGAATGTATCTAGTTCTTTTTTGAGCTGTTGAACTCTTGCCCTTCACCACATCCTCTGGCGAGGAGTTCCACAGGATGACTGTGCGCTGTGTGAAGAAAAACTCCCTTTTGTTTGAAACCTCCTGCCTATTCATTTCATTTGGTGACTCCTCGTTCTTGTGTTATGGGAATGAGTAAATAACTTTCCCTTCTGTGCTTCCTCCACACCAGTCCTCATTTCGTAGACTTCTTCATACGCCCCTTAGTCTCCTCTTTTCTGTGCTGAAAAAGCTCCGTCTTATTAATCTATCCTCACATGGCATATGTCCACACACCGACAAATTATGGTCATCAATGTGTCTGACCGCTCTGTTCTTTACTATAGTTTCAGCCAGTTTGCCTGGTACTTACC